AAAAAAAAAAAAAAAAAAACAGATACCAGCTTCCTACAGTGCTGCTATATCCACTCCTTAGGTCAAAACATGAGATATGCCCAACTTCAGAATGCAGCAATTATTTAATTTTTAATTTAAGTAATAATTTTAAAATAGTAACATCAAAAACAAAAGGTCAGTTAAAATAAAGAAACATGTGGTAGACAGGTGTAGCCCTCTGTGGATAGCTTCCAAATAAGGACAGTGCCTCACACGCTTGTGTTAGATCAAGGTCCTAGCATAAAAATCAGGGAAAGAAAAAGAGATGCCCTCACTAGCCCTCCCCTCATTATGGATTAACGGTGATCTCACTCCCTTTGGCCTAACTCAGGGTCAAAACAAATACATGGCTCATTTACACTGACAGAACAGTGGGAACAAGGTGAACAGTCGTCCCAAAAAGGCGATTTTTAAGGGTGTCAATGCTGTATTTTCCAGCCTGCCTCCACAGCCCCAAGAAAACATTCTGTGCACAGCTACAAGCATTTCCTAGGCAAAAAGTGTAATCATAAAAAGAATTTTGCTGCGTTTGGAATTCACTCAATGGCTTTCAATAATTTGAATCTCACTACCTGTATTTCAGCTATCCCGATGCACATGAAACTTGAATCTCAACATCTGCTAAAATTCTGTCAGTAGATTAGAAGTTACATGGGGCATATTCTTTTAGAGACAGGAGCTGAGAGGAAAACAACTCATCAATACCTTTGAAAAATATTTAGTCTATTTTGAAGAACATTAAATCTAACTCAGTGATTGTGGGGTTTTTTTCCAAATTCTCAAAAAAAAAAAAAAAATCAACACAAAAGTACACATAGCAAAATGCTGTCAGTGAAAATCTACAAAGGATATGAGAAGCTGAGTTCAATATTTTAGGCATAAATATTTCCTAAATTTCTGTGATTATAACCTCAAGTACTTAAGAATTTCCTTTTGTCTTTGCAACAAAGATGGGTTTTAATTGGAAACAGTAAAGCAAAATTTTTTCATATTGAAGGGGGAATTACTACCTAAGTTTCAGAGCAGTGTCTGTGCATTAGCCAGATTTAATTTATAGAGAAACTTAGCTATGAATTAGTTGTATAATGACAACTGGCACAGAACTCAATACATGAATGGTCAAATTCCAAGTATTTTTCCCAATCATCCTGTGACATAACTTCATCAGAATTTGAAATTCCATCTGTTTTGTTCTCAGGCTAACAAAACCAGATTCTAGTTAAGAGCAAACAGGCACAGACCATGTAGATGCTCGATGAGGAATGTTCCCATTGCTTTTTCAAGTTGGTTTATGTTAGTGAAAAAGCTATGGTGTGGGAATTATTATGAAGACAGGATTCAGAAAAAAACAGCAGTTACTCTAAAAGACCAAAGGGAGACATAAACCCCAAGTCACATGCTCTGAAACTGGAAAAGTTTCAAAGGCAAACTGTGTTCACTGTCTGGCCTGTCTGAAAAGACAGATGCTCAAAGTCATTAATACTGCTGTTTCCCATGGGCCTGGTGATGGTCAAAGTGGATGGTTTAGGTCTGTTTTTCAAAGACTGTAACTGTATAGGAAGTTTTGGCTTGGAGATGCTAGTCCTAAGGAAAAAAACACTGGTTGGCAACTCCAGCCCAAATGACAATATAGCACCTAACTCTATGCTAGAAATTACAAAGGTTTCTAAAGAAAGAAAAAGTTCTAGAACTGGTATCATATGAGCCAAAACTTAAAACAAAAATTAACAGCTTTTAGAGAACTAATGAGATAGACATTTTGACCTTGACCCAACAGAAGATGAATGTACTTCCAGATAGAAACAATGTGAACTAAAATTTCTCCATAGTAACAATTACAATTTTTTAAAACTAAGGGTTGATTTTTCTAAGGTTATGAGCTAACTGTAGTCCCTTGTTTGTATCATTAAAATCTGGCTTCTTCTATGCTTTGTATGTGCTAACCTGAGTATTAATGAGCTTTTATAATGGAATTTTAACAGCAACCGTACAATAAAGGCTCTACTTTTAAGGTGTATTTGTCATTTTGCACAGTAGGCTTAAGGGATAATTAGTAATACACAAATTCTGCCTAGGTTTCATATAAGCCAAAACATTTAAAAGTCCATTCAGTCTCATAAAAGTACTGGAACAACAGATATTAACAATATTCTTACAATACATTTCAGGTCCTTTAGAATTGAAGAGTTAACTGTAATTTGGTGATGTTTCAGTAATTACAGTTATTTATAGTTCAAATGAAATGTTATTTGACACACAGTACCTAGAAAAAGAGCCATTCTCCATCAAGAGTAAATTAACATGAATTTGAAGAGTGAAATGGAACATTTTAAAGTAGTCAATTCCTGCTAACAGATTTTTACTGTGTAATACAAGAAGATAACACATGATTTTTCTAGCTATACTAATAGAGTATAACAATAAGTGGTCATTATAACAGGGAATAGAATGCTAAGAAAGTTCCTAATAAACACACTGCACAAGAATGCTACAGTCAGGAATGAAACTCAAGCCATACTGAGCAGCTCTCATAAAGAAAACTTGCAGTCTGCATTTAAGTGGGGCTACGCCTGTCAGGACTAAAATCTGATACTAAAAAAGATGAGGACTGGTCAGCAGCAGTTGGTCAAACATAAAATGCAATTCCATGTAGGACACAGAAAGGGCTTTCCAGAAATCAAATTCCTGAACACACCTGTTACCCTCGAGGTTAACTTTGAATGCCTCCAGATCTGAATGACCTGTTAAAATTACGAACCTTCAAACTCTTTGGGGGAAGGATTTCGCTCATAACCCAACCTCAATTTTCAAAGTCACTTACCATAAAAATCTTGGAAACATATAGAGTTGCTCACAGCCTTGAAAATGTTAATGCTCAAATGCTCTCCGACCCATTCCCAAAGCAACTCAGCTACCTGCCTGCAGTGAGCAGAACCTTGCTGACCACTGCCCACAGGGCTGGTCACTGCATTCTTTTTTTTTTTTTTCCAAAGGCTTTTTATTTATTTATTTATTTATTTATTTATTTATTTATGTGTGTGGCCAGCTCAGCCCACCAGGGGGCGGGACTGGCTGGCATGTGGTGCTGGGGGATTGAACCGTGGTCCCTGTGCTTTGCTAAGCCTATTCCAAGTAGGTGCTTTAGACTGCTGAGCCATCTCACCAGCCCCTGGTCACTGCATTCTTGCACACATACCTGTTTCCTTCTTGCTTCCCTTTCCTCCCTCTCGGCTCTTCTTCAGCACAGCCTTTAACATTTTTGACACTCTTTTGTCTCTAGCAAGGGGGGAAAAAAGGAGGAGGAAGAAAAAAATTAAAGGACTGAAACACTTGGAATACAATTTGCATTTTGACATAAGAAGTAACCTACATTCAAACAAATTCTGGACAAAGAGATCTTGACTTTTACATTAATTATTAATAAACTATGGGGGAAACTAAGTAGTAAAGACACAAACAATGTTTATAACTATTAATGAGGTGATCTGAAGTTCACTGTCTGATTATAAAAGTTACAAAAAACACAGTAATACATGCACAGCATTCCACATCTAATTAAGGTCATGAGGCTAACCCTGGGCAAGCTACTATAAAATATCTGGCACGGTAACACAGTCCTCCAACCCTAGTTCATCAAAAGGAGGAAAATATTAAAACATAAAATCAAAATGATAATGGTTAAGAAAAAAGCTACAAAGTTAATGGCAATGTTTTACAGGTGCTACTAGTTACATAACTATGAGAAAAACATTTCAGAAGGTTATCAGAACAGAACACACCTTGTAAGTATTTGCAAAATAAATACAGTGGGAATACATTTCAACCCTGATGCCATGTGACGACTTGATTAAACAGCACATGCTCCCATGCGCTTTTCGTACACACAGTGATGACTTTGGGGTGGAGAAGGGAGGATAAGTAGAATTGACTTGTGGTGGTAGGGCTGACTCTTTTTTAAAAAAAGAATGAGCTATATTTTTAAGTAAGATTGCACTGAACTTACAAAAACACCACAGTGAATGAAGCCTATGATGAAACCAGAAACCATCTCTACAGTAAGACACAGACAATAGTGCTATTATTTTATCATGGTGGCTGGAAAACCCCAAGCACTAACAAATCCTAGAGGGCTGTGTTACCCATCAAGCTTTTGCTGCTGCAGAGGACAAGAGGCTGCTCCTGAGCAGACAAGAAGGGGGTGCGGGGAGGGGAGGAGAGAGGAGTAAGGGGAGGCGAAGGGAGACATCCCTAAGAACAAGACAGCTCCTAGACCTGCCCCCCACACAAGACTGCTTCAAGCACCTCAGCCTAACACCCCACACCACTTTTCAACCCCTAGGACAAAGCACAGGTCTTAAGAGGACCTCTCTACTGAGTCCCAGTGTGCTGCCATTCACAAAATTCCTGCACCTAGGTGGGCAGGATGGCAATTCTTATCACAGCACCCTGGCCTTTATTTATTTTTCCAAGCCCTTTGTTTTACTAATGAAGAAATAGAGACCCTGGGAGGCTGACTTGCCCAGGGGTCACTCAACTAATTAACAGTAAGGCCAGAATCCCCATCTGCAGAGTCCCAGCCTGGCTGGCCTTCCTGCTCTGGGGCTGGTTGGCCTCTCCTCTCAGTTCAACTCAGCTCAATGAAAGCTCTGGCAAACAAACAAAACTGAGAGACAGGGGGAAAATGTCTTAGAATATGAGAAAGCCATAGTGGCTATTAGGGTTAAATCATCTTACAAACAGCTTGTTACACACAAAAGGAACATGGCTGAGAGCCTAATTGTTTTAAAAATGCTACTTGAGCGGATTAAAGTGCCTGCTTAGACACAGGGACCAGGATTTGATCCCTGGCTGCCCTGCTAGCCCCGCCCCCAGGGTTGCTGAGATGGAGCTTGAGACTGGGCTTGGTAGCACACGCCTGTATCCCAGTGCTTAGGAGGCTGAAAACAGCAGAATCACTATGAGTCCAATCTACATAGTGGGACCATGTAGACCCTATACTAAATACACTTTAAAAAAAAAAAAATGCTACTTGAATGGGCCCTGGTAAAAAGACTTCGGTTCTACCTACAGGGCCAACACTCAGTCTAGGAGGGAGTACAGTACACCTCCACATGACCTGCGGACACAAATTGCTCCTAAGAGTCATGGCTAAAAGAAGCAATACAAAATGCTATGGCATGAAAACAGAGTATGTAAATTAAATGAATAGATGCCTAACAGGCATTGACATTTTCTTCAAAGCAATCAATTAAGCAACAAGTTTGTCATTCAACAAAGACTACATGATTTAAAAAGTACTGACAGAAACAGGGTATAGTGGTACATGCCAGTAATGCCAGTATACACAGGAGGTTGAGGCAGGAAGACTGTGAGTGTGAAGCCAGTCTGGGCTACATAGTGAGTTCAGGATAGCCTGGGATACATCATCAGACCCTGTCTCAAAAAACCAAAGAATAAAAAATAATACTGGCAAAGCCATGTCATCAAAAGCCGTGTTGCATGTGCCAAAGTGACTGAAGAACCTTGTATTTGCGTGGATCTCAAATCAGCTCAGATCCCATTATGTCTACGAAGTTGCTGCCTTAATTGATCACCCAGTCATCACCAATTTCCAGCAGACCTACAGTGCCCATCAGAACACACGTAACACAAGGGAAGGTCTGGGTGACCTTGATGATGGTACTGCATCCCAGACAAGTTGTACGCCTGGGCGGGGAGCTCAGTTGCTGGCAGGATAACCACATCTTTCACATCAGTGGTCCTGACTGAAGTGAAGAAGGCTATCGATACCAGCTGTAATTTTTTTCTTCCCATCCTGCTTTCCTCCATAAATAGCAATTCAGGGGGAAGAATTTAAATTTTATTGAAAACTCTGTTCATAAACCTTGAAAAACTGATAATACTTCAGTGCAAAAGAACCCTATGACCACTATTACAACAAGAAAATGTATACACACAAACTGGAAAAGGGGAAAAGCAAGACTTCCCAGCAAACTGAGTTCTGAAACTCACAAAGATCCAAGTGGAGCTATACACAGTCACCTGGAAGTCCCAGTCTTTAACCAGTCTTGACATTTATCAACAGACCCAAAGACTCTGCATCCGGGGTAGGGTGGGAGTGTCCCAAGGAAGAGCTATGGTAACAAGCTCCAGGCCAACATTCAGATTCCAGAGATCATCTGACACACCTGACAGTATCTATGAACTTCCAAACGCACATCCACATCCACACACACATGCAGTTCTGCAAATGGGCTATTGGGGCTGGGTGCTGTTAACATTAGCATGATATAAGTACTTCCCCTCATTCAGATTCTGTACTTAGGCTTTTTTAGAATGCCAGCAATGGGGAGAGAGAGGGCTGCTGCAGTCAGCAGTAGAAGTAAATTAATACACCAGTGTTCTCCTTCTCCACTGTTGCTGGGAGACTCCTCAAAAAGCTAGGACTGGAGGTCCCATTCAAGCCAGCCATTCCCCTCTTAGATATTTTTCCAAAGGAACTGAAACACCCTACCACGATATACGTGCACCTATGTTTATAGCATTGTAATTTGCCACAGCTAAATCTTGGAAGCAACCCAAATGTCCATCAACCAAGAAATGGATAAAGAAGATGTGGTATTTTTACACAATGTAGTATTACTCTGTCATAAAGAAAGACAGGGTCCAGAGATGGCTCAGTAGAATAAGCGCTTGCCTGGCAAGCTCAAGGGCCTGAGTTCAACCCCCAGTTCTACAAAATAAAAAAAAAGACAAATATGAGACTTTTATAGGTAAACAGATTCAACCAGAGACTGTATTGGTAAGTGAAATAAATCAGATCTGCATTGGATTGTCTCAGTAGTGTGAGAACCTGAAGGAGTAAATAAAATCTGAAAGATACAATAGATACTGTGAAAGGGAAAGAATCTGTTCAAAGGGAGGGAACAGCTGGGATGAGGGAAAGGACAAAAAAAGAAGGAAAAAAGAAATGTCTATGTATAATATGCAAGATAGTTTGGTTAACTGTACTACTGATTTCTACTGGCAGATTGAAAATAGTTAATGCTGAACTGTTAATTTTTTTTTTCTTTTTTTAATTTCTTGTAACTTTTTTTTTTTTTTTGCAGAACCGGGGATTGAACTCAGGTCCTTGTGCTTGCCAGGGAAGCATTTATTCCACTGAGCCATCTCCCCGGCCCTCTTGTAACTTTTTAAAACCAATTTTGCAGGTTTATAGCCAGTAACCTAAACAACTAATTTGATAACATTATACAATACAACAACCACTGTCAAATTCCTATTACTTTATTTAATGAAATTTCGTATTATTTCTAATTTCTTTTTTACCATGTTGGATTCTTTAAAAATAGTGTCCTAAACTTTAAATAAAACCTCTCATGAGCTTTGTTAAATGGCCAAATCCTACCCATGTAAGATGCTGAGAATAGTGAGCTACTGTCATCAGAGTGAGGAACAAAAAGGCAGAGTGTAAATTCTTTGATGGCAAGCTACCACAAAGCAGACCTGCGAGTCAGCCAGCAGGTACTCCTTCATTACACCCTCTGGTTCATCACATACTTCCAGTAGCAACTTCAACTGTGATTTTTACTCTAAAAGAGTGAATACTGATGTCATGATTAAGAACCCAAAAGAAAAGATATAAATCACTCTTCCAGACACAGCAATTCAGACCCAACACACCAAAAAGAAACTGCCACAATCTATCAACTTGCTAACAGAAAACAATGCATGTGCTGAGGAAATGTTTAGGGACAAGTGTTACAGGATAGAACATAAGGAATGCTGTCCTTACTTTAAATATTACAATACAAAAGGCACAAGTATAACTAGCCAAATACGACTCCTCTATGTCTGCCTCGTAACACCTTATACTTCAGAAACAGAAAGTCTTCAGCCTCTGTGACAGAAAGAAAAACAAATATATTGTTGGATCCAAATACTTAAGAATATATGTTTCCAAAAGTAGAGGCCATCTGTTACAACATTAAATTACTTGCTCCTGAGGCTGGCATCACAGCACAGGGACAGAGCATCTGCTCAGCCTGTTCAAGGCCCTGGGTCTGGTCCCCAGCACTGTGAAAACAAGTTATATGCTTTTGAGGAAAAGAATGTGTGGGGTTGGGGCAGTATTGTCTTTTTATCGCTCACTGCAAAGTTTTCCATAACAAGAGAAAAGCTTAAGTTTATATGACCAAGTTTTATGTGACATGGGAGCATTCAGAAAGGAAAAAATATATATTTATGATTAGAACTAATAAAGAATGACAATTTTG